CTGGACCAATCTATTTCCCTATACGCGACATATATACATATAGATAGATATATTTCTATAATAGTACAATATAAATTATTTTAATATGATTTATTTAATAAAACAAGACATTCGTATATGTATATATATATGTTGCTAATATAGCCGGCCATACAACTGAACCGATTGGGGGGTGTTATAAGCTAAAATAAACGAAATTTAAAAAAAATTCAGCTAGAATAACATAAGAAGCTTGTCTTGTCTTATCTTGTAAAAATAACAGTTTAGACACATTTTTATATATATTGTAATTTATCTTTGTCTATCTGCTATTTTGTTTGTCCGATCATAACTCAGGAACCTCTTGACCAATTTTCCTCAAATTTTGATTTGAGAAATCGGGAAAACCACAAGAATGTTTTAAGCTCGGTTTTGAGATTCTAAATTGAGTGGGACAACTTTAAAGCGAAAATTTAGTTTCCCAGTAACATCGACTAAGAGCAGGTAAACAACGGAGCAACTAGCTATGCTATGATAAATCTCTGAAATGCCCTGTAATCTTGTAAAAGAAGTGGACAGTAGAAATACTTAAAATTAGAATAGATCAGGTGTCCAAAAAATCTGGAGATGCTGAATTTATGGGGAAAAAAAGGATTTTTTGGGGCATTATTTTGAAAAGTTCTGAATTATAACCGGACTTCCTCAAAAGTATTTAATTCTAAAAAAAAATTTTAATTACTTGCTGAATGATATATTTCTCCATAAGGAAGTTTAGCGCATGTTTACATACAGTACACGATATACTGCAGGTTCTGTACTTTTCATTCTTGTTAAAAAGATGAAAATGTTCAGGTTTAAACACAGACTATAACACAGACTGCTTATCTCCTTTCACAGGGTGGGCTACGTATGCTTAAGTTGACCCGGCACGACATGCGACGTTTTTACGATAGGTTTTTTAAATTGCAATCTCACGGCCACTTGTGAACATAATACCCATTCTGGGGTTAAGTTTTACAACTTTTAAAAAAATACTCAAATTTTAAACATAAAACATAACATTTATGAATTTAGTCTTTTTCAAGATTTTGTGTTTCGTATCCAAAGGATCCTTAAATATCCCTGAATACAGATGTTTGCTGATTGGTCGTGTACAGTAACTGCACACTATAGAACATGCTGTGGAAAATATCCAAAGATAATATATATATAGATATGCAGGCAGGTATAAATTTAGAGGTCTTGAGAAAATGTGCAAACAGCACCATCTCTGTCGTACGCATGGCATTTTATCCTCTGGATTGTTGCTAATTTATCACTTTGTTTATGCGTGATAACACTAAATGCGTACTATAGTATCAACAATGTATACTGCATATTGTACTTAATGAAACAAATTAATCAATGCAAATAAAACTGAGGTAGGAATTTGACTAGACAAAGTTTAAATGTGCAAGTTGTACTGAATGGCATACGTAAATTAACGCAATTTAAATAAAAATTATGACTATAAAAGTACATCGAGTCTAGGACAAATTACAACTGATCTGATCATAACATAAACAAAACGCGTACTGTATGTTTGTGTTACCTTGAAATTTAATTTTATTGGTCAAACAGGTCCAGATAGCAACACTTGAACTATACAGGATGCAATACGCGTACTGTATGTTTATATAACACAAATGCGTATTTCCTACAGATAGCAGCAAGGGGAGAAAGGAATATAGAAAGTAATCAATTTGCTATAGATGTCTCTCCTTGCACATTTTCTCAGAGGTTCAAAAATTAGTTGTCTGCTACAAGAAATTTAGGAAGGAGGTTTCTACCTGCCTGCATATCTATATATATATTATCTTTGAAAATATCGCATGTTTAGCTATTAATCGATCTCTCTTATCCATCTTATTTCTGGTTTTAAAGTAATATGTGATATGTCATTAGACAGTATAGCTAGAACATAGTAATAACATCTTTGTCAATGAAATGTCCTAAAAATGGAATTGGCCAACTAAAATCCTTAAAATTATAATGGAATGTTTCAAAAAAAGTTGCTTCTTTAATCGAAAAGATTGGACTTTTTAGACATTTTTTTAAATGTGTGCAGAATTAAATCACCATGTTTTAAAAATAATATATTTGAAAAATCTTGCTAATGGTTCCAATTATTTAGATCTTTAAAGGCTGAGTCTATGAGCTCCAGACAGGTGAGAATTTCCCAAGAGTAGAGCTGGGCAAAGTTATCAATTTTTGACAAAACTTACCCATAATGCTAAGTTACTTTATTTATCTTGCTCTGTAAAAAAGGCATTTTTATTTCAAGATGATAAAATTTTCTTCTTAAGAACAATTCTTAAAGTAAAATTCATTCTCATTAAGAAATTATTAAGAAATTCGATTCCGCATCTATCCAATTTGGTAAATAAATTGTTAGTTGAAAACAAATTATGTTTAATATACATTATTTCAATTAACCGGAAACAATTATTGAATAAAATGAAAAAAATAACTACTGTGGTCAGAAAAAGCCCTTGATAACAGAAAATAACAGATCTTAAGAAAATAATTTTTTTCTAAATCTGATATTCAACTGCAGCAAATAAAAAAAAACATGAAGCAAATTTTGTTTTGACCCCACTGATATTTTGTACAATATTTAAGCTTTATCGACTAAAGCCCATTGACTTTTAACACAGGGTACCCTTCACAAAATGAGATTTCTGAGAAGTTAAACAGAATTCTTCAATCCTTCATGGTATCCCATTGTTCTAAACTGATTTCAGTCTTTCTGAAATCTTTGAATAAGTCAATGAAGTTTCTAGTCAACTGTACTGTCTCAGAAAGTTGGGTCTGCTGTATACTGAAAAAACTTATCAAACAGAACACCTTGATAACTTTTAATTGGTTTACCAATGAAGAAGACATTTTTGTTAATTTAACTTACTTTTATTAAATCAATGAAAAAAGACTGGACATGCTCAGCCCTTCTAACAAGTAATAATTTCAGGAGCCCAATGGTGAAATTTATGAAACCTCTGCTGCTGCTCAGTTGCAATATGAGAAGGTATGATATTAGTAATTATTGATATAGGGTATGCAGAGTAAAGAGTCCCCTGAATGCTAAAAATATGGCATTCAAACTGTGTTGGGGTTGAACATTGCAGGGCATGACTTTTCTCCTGTTTAATTTAAACCCATTACTGCAGAACTTTTGAAAAATGGGGAGTTGAAAGCCTTTAAGTCCCATCAGGTGGAATCTTCCACAATAGTCCAGTCCAGTCCTCACAGCCGGCCGAGTAAAAAACTGGTATCGTTGTGTATGGCTTGTATACTTATCAGGGGTTATACTTCTTCCAGATGTTGATGAATCGATAGGCGGAAGATGGAGTTCTTGTTTACAATTTAAATCCTATGTTTCGCTACTTCCCTGTAGGATAAGTCATGAGCAGATAAACACAGTGCTCTTCCAAACTGTTGCGCCAGAAGCCAGTATGGGCAAGTGGTCCGTACCCTTTTGAGAGCAGAAAGCAACTGTTTCCTGTCTATCTATTTTGAGAGCAGAAAGCAACTGTTTCCTGTCTATCTATTTTGTTTCTTTTATCACTGAAGGATTCTTCAGAAAAATTGTTCGCTCAGTATTTATAAATTATATTTTGAAGTTTCCTAAATTATGAGATTATATAATTATCATCAAAATGAACATTTTAATTCATAACATTTAGAGTAATAATTATAAACGATTAAGAAGTCAAATTAACAGACAAGCTATTTTTTTCACCCCACATAATATAAAGGTTTTAATTAATATTTTTTAATTGCTAAATTACTGATGTTGTTTTAGATATTTTCAAACCTAACCAAATTGAACTCGAAAATTCTCAACAGCCTAAAGATTGCAAGGTCAAAAACCAGTAAAGATAAAAGTGGTCAGGTAATTCTGTTAATATTTTTAATTAATAATCTTAATGTTGTAATATCACATGTTTTGGTGGAATGAAATCCCATAAAATTATCAATTAACAATAAATTTACAACCCTTAAGTTCCAGTTAAAATCTTCTGCATTGAAGTTTGTGTAATTATATTTAGTTTGATGTACAGAACAGTTTTTGTTCTGGGCATACGTTAAAACATCTTAATTTATTTAAATAAGTTAAAAAACTTATTATTATTTTAAAAAAAGGATCTGAAAGTATTTAAATGAGATTTGATTCCTTCTTCCGACATCTTTAAAGTTGGGGCATTGATTTTAGGTCCCTTTTTAAATATTCTTGTTTTTTACTTTATAAAGCTCCACACAAATCTGAAATGCTTGTTCTCAAATTTTTTCTCAAATCTCAAATTGTACCTAGTTTGAATTTATTATATTTGCATTTAAACTGACTAAAGATTGACCAAAACTGTAGAGTTCTAATCTCAGATTCTGTTAACCCTATAAAGACTTGGGGGTCTGAATCTATGTATAGCCGGGGGGGGGGGGCGTCCCACATCCCCCCCCTAGAAAAAGCCCCTAGAGAATAGGTATAGGGTTGAAATGCATGTTCATAGTCAAATTTTTCAAGGCCAGCTCATTTAAAGAAAATATTGTGATGATTATATGTATATATGGAGTCAAACATTATAGAAACCGAACGTATAGAAACCCCTAAGTATGGCAACAACGCGTATTTTGAGGGAAAATATTTTTTATATTTTTGCGAAATTTAATAATCAGTGTAAATAAAAATATCATTTCCATAACATCCTTTTATTTAAATGGTAAAACGGAATTTTATGAAATCATATTAACATTACCAGAGAACTTTTTTCGTATTTTTGAGAATTTTTTGTAGATATCATTTTTATAAAATAATTAATTTTGAATAGTAACACACAATTTTTATGTAACATATAAGCATCAATTTATGATGTCAGTACATAATTAAATCTGGGGAGACCTTAAAAACTAAAGAGAGCAGAACAAATGTACATAATAATCCAGATAGTTGTATAGTCTAGGGTATGCTAAAAAAAATAAAAATAATGATAATGATAATGATAAGCTAGAATGTTTTACAGAAAAGTTTAATTTCTCAAAGAAAAATGACTGGGATTTATCAGCGTTTCAGTATATTTGTCTAAATACATCGGTTTAAGGTTATTCTTGTTTTAATCTGTTTTCTTATGTGTTTTAGAAGACCACAGTTCAGATAGATGCAGTAAATTAGCCCTCTGTTCATTTGTAAGGTTCTTGAGCATATTTAGCTCCTCAAATGCTCCTGCTAAAATCCAGTCTGTGATTTTAAAAAATCTGATGGAAGTAAGACATTCCAGAGAAGGTCATAGGTTCTGAGCTGCTCCCATAGAGAATAGAATATATATTAGAGGGGGATTTACTAGAAAAAAGTGTAAAACGGCCATTTTGTTGTACTGTTTCCATACTGCAGGTGTACTTCACATATTTATGCTATAAAACTTTTTGGGCCCTGGAATATCATTTTATAGAAAATCTAAAATTAATGTTTAAAGAAATCCAAATTATGAAATAGGCTGGTTTCATAATTGACCAATGATCATTTCACATAGACTCTATGCCTTCCACTTTACAAACGAAGATTTTCCGTTATAACTATAAATCAAATGATGTTTTTATTCACCTAATTCATTGTAAAGTTTATTTAACAGTATAAAAAATTCGAAATTGAAATGAATAGTCTAGGGAACATACTGTATTAATGTACTCTACTGCATATAATTTGTGAACATTTACATGATTTGTACACTTTGAACTCCCTTTCAGGCTGAAAGGGACTGACAAAATTCATACCGAGAGATTCTTTAAATTCCACTCTAATATATATTCTATTCTCTATGGCTGCTCCTCAATATCTGCAATTCTCTGTCTAGTCTTGAGATACTTCCAATGTGCAATCCTCAAAGCCTCTCGTTCAGGAAGGTCTTCATTCATCTGTTTGTCAGAGCAGCTTCTCTGAACCCAGATCCCTCATTTAGCTGCTCTAGTTCAGGACCTCTGAACATGAAGATCTCATTTAGATGCTCCGGAACAAGACATCTCTGAACAGCTTCCTCAGCTTCATGCATCTCATGAAGCTGTACTGGATCAGGATCTATAAACTCAAATACTTCACTTAGCAATTCGGTAGTAGGATCACCCTGAGCAGCTTACTCAGATTCAGATAGATTCTCTAGTTCTATATCTGGACTAGGAGTCCTGGGAGTGGAGGATTCAGAAGAGAATATACCATCCTTTAACCAAGGCAGCAGTTCTTCAACTATAGCTTGTAGCTCATCAACAACATCTTCCATATCTTCTAGTGCAGGGGCTTCCTCCAGGTCTCATATTAGATCCTGTGAGTCATAAACCTCCTGGTTTCTCATATCTGGAGGACAATAGATCCTGTCCTCATAGATCCGCAAGATTTCCTCCTCTCCTGGAGTCCTTGGTCTATACTAGTATTCTAGCTGCTCCTGGCAACAAGCAAGATTGGGTTCTTGTATAGAATCCTCTGCAGAGTATAGAGCAGCTCCTGGTGTACTGGCTAGACAGTCTAGATCTCCTCTATTTGTACATCCTGGTTTTTCTGTATCTCCAGTTTTTCTGTTCATAGAACCATCTGGACTGGTAGTTGGACTGACTAAACTGTAGTTGGACTTGTTCGTCCTGAATATCTTGGTTGCTCTATTTCTCCAGTGGCCCTGTCCATAGGACCAGCTTAAGAATAAAGAGTTTCATCTGGTACATCTTGGTCCATGGTTGGACTAGCTGGAACTGTTACAATCGGTGGATAGTCCCGACTGGCCAGTATGAGTACAATCGGTTCAGTTCCAGAAACTGCACGAGATGAATCTCTTAATGTACGGATGAATCTGATGATACATATTCATGTATACATGATGGGAGAAGATGCTGGTGGCCTTCTGTGTTCCCTGACAGGCATGTTGAAGATTCATCTATTTGTTAACTGCCTGTTAGCTGTCCAAATGTGCAAGTCCCTTGGCCTTGTTTTAAATAGACTATAGAGCTTTGCTACATGTCCATACTGATCAAGGTTACTGGGTGCACTAGCTCCTATTCTTCAGCTTCCCTACTCTGCTCAGATCCGAAGAAAGGGTTGAAGGATTTTCCAGTATATGATCATACTCTAAATATTACATCATGCTTTAAATATTACAATATCAAAGTGTGACACATGTTTATATATCCAATTTTCAAGGGCTTTTCAAAAATATAGTTTTTAGATCTGTAGCTTTAGTCACAACAATTTTTTTGGACTATTTTGGATTTTTTTCACTAACTGGACTTGTTTCTGCCCTATACCAAACCCTATGCATTAAGAAAAAAATGTTAACAAAAAAATCCTTTAAATTTCTTTTCATTAAAAGTCACAAAATTTCACAATGATAGTGTCAAAAATGAGAGTGATAGGACTGTTTAGGGTTAAAAGATGTACTTTCAAAGCAGAAAACCCAAAATGTAAAGGAATAGACCCCAATATGTATATCTGATGCTATAATTACAATAATTACCAGATCTTGGGCAAGGCAAAGAAGGTGAACCAACTAGTTAAGGAACTGGTCACCACCAACATCACAGTGTTGGAGTCTGCTGTTGAGTTCCTCAGGGATAACTGAAGACAATAATAATCTTGAAAGTTCTTAACAAACTATAAATTCAAGTTAGTTTTTTTCTGAAGGACACCATCTCTACATCCTGCTGATATTAAACAAATTATAATATCCCAGATTTTATTGTCTTTAAATGATAAAGGTTGACCACTACATCTGCTCTACTAAACATAGATGCTTGTATGAAAGATCCTACTTCTGCTACCTGTACTGTAGCTTATGGGTATGATCATTACTGTATATTAAAAATTAAAGTTTGTTTTTTGTTTTATTATATAACTGCCCAATCTTTAAATTGAACATTTCCTTTTTATTAAAATTATTAAGTAAACTAATAATATATTATCAAGGGATCCTTTCTCCTTACCTGCAACATTGAAATCAAAGGTATTATTATCAATATAATTGATTTTTAAACACTAACATATCTGTTATTATTACAGTGTGATGGATCAGTTTAACACTAATATATCTGTTATTATTACAGTGTGATGGATCAGTTTAACACTAATATATCTGTTATTATTACAGTGTGATGGATCAGTTTGCTCCAGTTTAAAGGTATCTTGTTAATAATTTATCATAAATCAACAGTCTTTATGCACTTTTAATTAAGATTATCAACTTTGCTGAATTTAACCTCCTGAATTACAGTTTCAAAGTCCAAAGTTTTTAAACTCCTGAAAACCCCCCTCCCTCCCCCCCCCCCATAATTCCACAGTGCCTAAAAAATTCTACAGAATCTGATTTTGAAATTAAATGATAATAGTAATCTTAATTTTATAATTTGTATTAGAGTTGTATGGAAAATCCTTCCTCAGTGAACTGCACAGGTAAATTTACAGTGAATATTTACTGGAATTTGTAGTGCTCTCAAGACAGACATGGATACAGTGAAAACTTGCTTCACTAATCCTTCGGATGGAGGTTGTACAGGTTCAGTTTAGTTCTGATTAAAATTACTGACATTTAAATTTCAACCAAGTATTCAATTAGTATTCATATATTTTTAATTGCATGTTACTATTTAAAAATAATAATAAAAAGCACTAAATCTTTATCTGATTTCCGACCCAACCTAAAACAATACCATATAAATAATTTAAATGGAGTGACCAGCAAAGAATGTTTGTTCATCAAATCAATAAATTTTAAAGTAATTTTCAGGAAGATGTAGGTAGGTTGTCCCAAAATGGGTGGAGATTAAAGCATAATAATTTGAATAAAGTTCTGGCTTGTGCTTTTTTTGCACAATATTTGATATTTTACCCACCCTTGCTAGTCACTCCCTTTAATTATTTAAAGGATAAAATAAAGAAAATAATGCTTCTAATTATGTTTTAACTATTTTTCTTTCTTGAAAAATGTTTACTTTAGTAATTTATGGCACCAACAACTCTTTACCTGGAGTATTAGCCGGAAAATGTGATGGATCAACTTGTGCAGTTTTAAAGTCAGACTTGAGTACAGTTCAGACCTGTTTCAAAGATCCATCTGATGTAGCATGTACAGGTACAATAACTGAAAATTTGTATCACACAGATGAGAGATGCGAGAGTTGGCTTACTGATGAAACTATCAGTTGGGTTTTGAGAATGACCAAACTAAGACAACAATTTTGATTATGTTGATCAGCAAAAAAAAACTTTGGTAAAGGATAAGCAGTTGAAAGGAATCCAAGGCATTAAAATGAAAAGTGCCATTTTGTGCTGAAGGCACAAATTTAAGATTCAAAAGTACACCCCTAATTCAGAGTAAAGAAACACAGTGGCTCCTGTTCAGGAACTTACAGCACTGAAAACTCATTGCCTGCTGTCATATCTGGAAAATGTGAGGAAGAAACCTGTTCTGCTCTAAATGCCAACCTTGCCACGGTTACAACCTGCCTTGTTAATCCCACCGAAGAAGTGTGCATAGGTAAGGATACCTTAAACAGTAAGCTAGTACCTTTCTTAAGATAAAGTGAAAATCACTCTCTAAATCATTAATCTTTACAAGGTTCACATTCACTGTATTAGGCTACTCATATCTTACATTGCTTTTGACTTTTCAATTTTCTTCCCTATACTCTCATTAACCCTTACTTAACCCTTAAACTCATCACTATCATGATTATATAATTTGTGAGAACTGATTTGTACGGTAATATTGAATTCAGCAGGTAGATTTGCAGATCAGTATAGATTTGATATTTTAATTTCAAATGTTTCAGGAGATGGACTGCTTACTTGGGCTAAATATTTAAGTAAGTTTTAATTGACAATGTTTTATTATTTCTTGAAAAAAAAACTTTTTATTAATAATATTGATGATAATGATATTAAAAAATGCTAGAACAGCCAAGTGTTCAATGCGCTCTAGGAGTGAAAACTGGACCATTGCCATTTATCAAGTAAGTAATAGTCCTTCAGAAAATTAGAATCATAATATGATTTTAATATTTAAAATGGTTGATTAGTAATTATATAATCTTGCAGGTCATCCGAAAAAGCCGAACCCAACAGCTGCAGTGTCTTACCGTAAGTTATCAAGGGAACAAATTCTTTGCTTCAAAATCCGATTTTCAAAACCCTATATCTTACCTACCCAATGTTGCAGACCTTAGATATTTCAAACTAAGACTTCTGTTATATCAAACAATATGAATTTAAAATATCAAAGGTTTACATCATTTAATTGTAACATTTAAAACACATTTAAAAATAATTTTAGATACTACTATCGAGTTGTATTTAACTCATGTATCGAATCAGAACCACCAAATGTCATCAACCAAACTGTCTACCAAACAAGCTATTTTCATGTCTTCTTCTCAAATCGGGTAAGTTCTAAAGATTAGAGATTAAGAATATCAGAACTAAGGTCAAGACTTATGAATGGCTCTATTCTACAATGATTGATCTGGTTATCCATGTTGCAACACTTTCAGAGATACATATGCTTGAACCCTCAAATTTAGTTGTTCCTTATGAGTTCCTTGGCTATTCAAGGGGGATTAATCTTTCAGAAAACTAAATACATTGATAACTGATAGATTCATGAATGTGATCATCAAGCTTGGTTCTAGGTTGGACGATCTGCTGATTCCACAGATGTTCAAATAAACCAGGATGGGTGGTATCAGGTAATCATAATCATTTTAGTAAATTAGCATGAAATTAAATTAATTTCTTTAAGGTTGAGATGTCCACCTTCATGACAGTATTAGAGGCTGGTTCCAATTCTAGAATCCAGGCTTTCAGGGTATTATTTATTATTTTTAAAGAGGCTATTTCTAAATTACTTCCATTCTACAAACAGGAACTAAAATAACATGAAGTTTTATCTCTGATGTGAAACACAATCTTACGGAATCCTTACATACATTCATAATGCTTTACTTAATTAATCAGATTATTATTTACTTAATTTTTTATTTCTTTTCCGAAAAAATACATTATTTTTTGTTTAAAAAACGGAGAAAAAATCTGTGGACAAGCGTTTCAAGTTGTTTTGCATAGTGCATACTGTAAAACATAATATGCTCTTCTACACTTTACTCTTCTGCCCTCCTGTTACTCGAGGGAGGGTGGTGCAGAGGCGCCTTGATCTCCGCAAAAATGACCTCCAAGCCTCCGGATTTGCAGAATTACCTACAGGCCCCGCAAAACTGGTCTCCCAGCCTCCGTGACGTCACCAAGCCTCCCGCCATTCTGTCTCCACGCCAAGCATTTTGGTCTCCGCTTGTTGTTTTTATTTTTTCTAAATTTATTGGCTTAACCAAACAAATATCAAAACATATCTCTTCATAGTAGACTCCGTCATAGTTTTAAGAACCGTTTAATCAACAATTTTGACATGTTAATTCATTCAATTGTTCTGAGTCTAAAACTAAAGAATGCGCGAATTTTAAGTTCGAGGTTAAAAGTTCTGTAAAATAATGAATAGCTACTTAAATATTAAACTTTATCAATTTTAAATTTGAATTTCCCGGGAAAAATCTGAACTAATCAGAGAAAAGGATTTGAAGAATTATTACGTAAGTATCGGTAAATTCGGTAATCAGCTGTTTTTTAAATTTTAAGTTATTTACGTGACGGAAAGCAAAGCATATTTCCAGTTACAACCGTATTTTGGGTATACGTGCAAACATTAATTAATCTAAAACGTGAAATATATTAAATCAAGGTTTTTACTTTTAAATATATCGTAATTAGTTGAATGCCGCTTACCGCTGAATGATGATAGAAAAATAGGGATTGCGGTTCAAGATTTTAACCCTCTGTGTTTAAGTTTCAACTCGTCGATTTCGGCGAGTTAAATATTTAACCACAGGGTTAAATATTTAACCTCACGGTTAAAGTTCAGGTTTAAATTAAGTCAAATGTGGCATTTAACCATGAACTTAAAATTTAAGTCAAAACTTTTCGTTCTTTAGTTTTAGACTCTGGAGTTGTTTTTCTGTAAAAGTTCACATTAAGATGGAATGAGTAAAAGACGACCTTTATTAACGACGTATCTAATATTTTTGAAGGCATCATGATTTGAAGATTTTATTAACTCTCGATTCCTTGGCATTACATTTTATCATAAAATGCAAATTATTGAGGATCTGTCCTATAATATACGAGTTTTTGCGCACCCCCTCCCCCCACATCTGTATATCAATTTTTATTTATATGACTAATTCCTCGAATTATTAATATAAAAATTTAACTTATTAAAACAACAAGATATGACACGAAGCTGCCCTAACCTGTTAGTATAGCATGTAATAGATATTTAAATTATTTTAATTCTTTGTTTCAATTTTTAAAAAATAGTTCTTCAATATTTTCTAAAGCATACGATAAAATCACAAATACAAGGATTTCACAAAAACTACCTTGTTTTGTAAATTGCTGCTGATATTGTTTGATTTGTATATGAGACCCCTCTAAAATAATATAAAATTTTTCTATCTTTATACAAAACTGCAATAGTTTTTCACAATTTAAGGAATTTGTGAAATTTAGAAAAACAAAATACAAGCCTTTAATCTCAATTAAAATTCACTTTTCAATACAAAATGTTAATGTATCATTCTGAACTATTTCATCATGTTGAGAATTTTTTAAAAAAAGGTTCTTGGTGGAAATAAAAGCCAAATATTCTTTTATTGGAGCCTAAATGCGGGGCTTGGAGACAGAATGGCAGGAGGCTTGGAGGTCATTTTTGCGGGGCCTGGAGGTAATTCTGCAAATCCGGAGGCTCGGAGGTCATTTTTGCGGGGATCATGGCGCCTCTGCACCCCCTCCCTCGTTACCCCTGTAACCTAGTTATTCCATTTGTCATGGTGTTAAGTTATTCAACACTTGGTGCGAACAGCATTTCTTGTCAACAAATTTACTGAATTACAGATTTACCTTCTGCTTTTACCTCATCAGTTTCTGTAAGCTGTTCTCTTTAATCTCTCCTGTTCCAAATACAGTTTTAGATACAGGGTGTCCCACGAAACATGACACTAACAAGACGAATTGAAAGTCGTCTTTCAACTTTTAAGTAATTGGTGACGTTCAGTCTTCCACCTTCTTTTACATGCATGATTCCTGAAACAATAATCACACAATTTGCCTAGTCCTGCCGTTTCCAAATTGTGGTTTGCCTTTTTTGTGCATTCAATATTACCGGAGATATTAAGAATTTCGTTCAGATTTAATTTTTATAAAATAAAACCAATATTGTCCAGATCTGAAGGAAATTCATCATTTCTCCGGAAATATTGAAAGCACAAAAAAAGAAGACCACAATTTGGAAATGCCAAGACAAGGGGTATTTTGTGATTATTAATTCTAGAATTTTCCTCATAAAAAAAAGTTTTCGAAAAAATGCCGCAAATTATTTCAAAGTTCTAAGACGACCTTCAAAATCGTCTAGATATTGTCATGTTTCGTGGGACACCCTGTATATGCTCCAGGTTTCTAAAAGAGACCCATTAGATGGATGTGCAGACATTTCTACTCAAACATGTTCCAATCTCATAACTCAAGACACTAAGAACTCGGTAAGTTGACACACGGTCTTGACCACAGCAAATCCTTGATAATTTCGAAAATTATTCCTAATACTTATGACATAATGCCTAATTATTACCTGGATATTCATTAGAGGAGGTCGTGGTTTTCAGACTTAAGTAGGAAGTACAAAATAATTTGAGATATTATTTAAAAAATAAATTGATTTCTGAAAAAATCTTTAAATTCAACATTGAAGTGCGAAAATTTCCATTTCCAAGGTTCTGACGTCGTCGTTTTCTGTGTGAAGACGGTATTTGTTTCAGAATATTAACACAATGGAGCAAACTCGCACTTATTGGTTTTGTTTTTGGTTTGGTTTGGCTTGGTTCACAAGTTACAAATGAAGGAAAAATCTTTAGCTAAGGCTCAATAAAGGTAACAAGGGTACTATCTGTGGACAAGCGTTTCAAGTTGTTTTGCATAGTGCATACTGTAAAACATAATATGCTCTTCTAGTAAACTAATAATATATTATCAAGGGATCCTTTCTCCTTACCTGCAACATTGAAATCAAAGGTATTATTATCAATATAATTGATTTTTAAACACTAACATATCTGTTATTATTACAGTGTGATGGATCAGTTTAATATGCAATTGGATGAATTGGATAGTTAACAAAAATTACATTACATATGCAAACATTTATTGACCCTTACAAATTATAAAAGCATATTTAAATGTCGTCTTCATTTTCTGAGAATCTGAATGTCTTATTTTTAAAATCTGTTTATTATGCCCAAAAAATGAATTATATGGTATTCATTGTCAAATCATCTACTCTCAAGGCTTTGAAGATTTAGAAAATCAAGAGCATTATTTTAAAATTAATTTAATCATGCTTAAATAAAGGGGCTAAAAGATCCAAAAAAGGCAAAAACTTGACTATTAAACTACCTATTTCTCCTGAAATATTTGACCTATAAAAATCAATAAAGCCCTAAATGTATATTTGGAATTTTTGGAGAGGGATCTCTGGTTCACAAATTTTATTTTATGTTACATATGTTATTTTATGTTACATGTTAACTATAAAATGAGAAATGCTAAAAACTACTGGCCCCCAAATTTGTTTCATATTTAGACTTCATGGGCCCTATTAAAACCAGGGTTGTTTTGTTTCAATGTGTTTAATCAAAAAGGTCAACTCATGACCTCCTCTAATATTCATAGTAACTATTAGGTTTATAGATACAATCAAATAGAGTCAATGGCAACGTAGAATTTGTACACTCTCAGTATACAGCTGTATCTTTAAGTCATAAGTTTCAACTTATTGTTTGCGTCCGACAAAATTATTGATAATAGTGTTAATTTCAGAAAAAAGTGCTTTTTTTACAGAAAAATAATTGTAACTTTATGTATTCTTTATTTTCTGTTTTTACACTTTGTTTTCCTTGTTATATTTGACACTTGTGACGTCATATATAATTGGTCCATTTCTCTGTTGCCACCTATTGTAAGCGATAATCTATTTGGATACAATGTGTTCTAGGTCTATGAGTCTGACGTTCTGATTGATGCCCCGTACAGAAGCGAAGGAGCATTTCAAATGTGTGCTGGTGACAAGATTATACTGATCTTCAGCAAAGATGGTAAAATGCGTAAAATTGATTTTTTCTACTTTTCATTGTTCGTTTTTTAGGTGATGAAACTGCTATGATTACAGATTCTAACAAATTAGATCAAACAATTTTAACTGTTACCAAACTATGGTACACGCCTTAAAAAAGGAGACGTCTTGACTGTAAAATTACAATTCCTCTTTTGAAAAGGAATGGTTCCAGAATCTTGAAAAGACTCTTAATTATAAGTATACATTATATATCTTTATATACAGGGTGTCCCACGAAACATGACAGTATGCAAGACGACTTGAATGATTTTTTATATAATTTGCTGCGTTTATTTGTCAACCTAATCTTAGAAGTAAATTTCTAGAGATAATAATCACAAAATTTCCCTAGTCCTGCCATTTCCAAAATGTGGTCTGCCTTTTTTGTGCTTTCAATATTGCCCGAGATATGAAGAATTTCGTTCAGATTTCGACAATTTTGCTTTTATTTAACAAAATTGAAATCTGAACCAAACTCTTTATATCTCCGGTAATACTGAAAGCACAAAAAAAACAGACCACTTTTTGGAAATGCCAGGGATAGGAGAATTATGTGATAATTGATTCAAGAATCATACATGTTAAAGTAGATAGAAGACTAAATGTCACAAATAAATTCAAACACCAAAGACGACTTTCAAGTCGTCTTGCTATTGTCATGTTTCGTGGGACACCCTGTATATATATTTACTGCCATTGTGACCTCCTACATGTTTTTGTCTAGTATTTAAAATTAATATCCATTAACCAATTATTACTATTAAATATATGTTTAAAATATTTTTTCCGAATGTTCTTTTTTGATTACTGTATTAAGTTATGAATAAAATAAGGTTGGTTGACCAATTTTTGTTTGATTTCATGCCTTTTTAAAATGTTCTTTTCAGATAATTTTAACTTTGATAATTTATTTTAATCAAATTTTACAATATTTTACAATATTTATATGATATCAGATACAAATATTTTGATATTTCTATATTTCTTCTTCATCTTTCATAATCTTTCAATCATATATCGGCTAATTTTTTCTTTTTAGATTAATAATATTTCTCAAGCTGCATGCTTTTTACAAGAGCCATTATATCATTTATTACCAGGTTTCCAGGGAGTAAAAACTATGTCTCTTGTAAATTCAAAGATCCTGAATTGATTTACTTAACAAGCTTACAACTGTCTAATAGTGCTCTAACAATAAATCCTACATTAACAGTTATGATATTGGTTTTCTAAAGATATACAAATATTCAGGCTGAGCTCTTGCTAGAAATCAGTCGAGGGAAAGTAATGGTATTTTTGAATGTTGACATGGAAACGCCTCAACATGGAAACGGAAACCTCCGCTAATTGTAATTTTTTGAGGTGTTTCCTGTTTTCTCAAAAATAATCAGAAATCCCTTATATCATTTTTTGAGGGACTCCCCTCTTTTTTCGATCGGTTTCACCGATTTTTAGGTCGGATTCTGGTTTTTACAGGTCAAATATTTTTGAGGGATTTCCCAATATTTTCGATCCGTTTCCGGACAATGATTTTTTAATTATTGACAATATGAACTATTCAAAAAATATTTTTACAGATTTAATTTATCTTAAAAATATTTGAGCTAATTTTATTGTAAAAAGAAAAAGCTTTAAGGCAAAACTTAGAACTACGCTACGAGAGCATCATTTCATGAAGAAACATGACATTTTTTTAATTTGTATAATTTGATTTTTTAATGATTTTTTTTGTGAGCGTGCGTCGCGGCATCACTAAAAAAGGAAGAGATTAATTGAAGGTAATTAAAAAGACAGCGAAAAATTAGAGGGTTACTAGTAAAAGATTCAATGAAAAAATAAATTGAATTTTTAATAAAGTAAGAAAAAATTGAAACAAATGACTAACAATATAAAATGATTCCTGATAAAAATATTTAAATGAAAGAAATTTATTAATAAAGTAAGAAAATTAAATCAATTAAACAACAAGTAAAACAGTTTCGTGATAAAATTAGGTTAAATTTAAGTAAGAAAATGAATCAATTAATTAACAATCAATAAAAATATTCCTGATAAAAAATATTTAAAAGAAAGAAAATTAGTAATAAAGTGAGAAAATAATTCAAATGGACAACAAGTAATAAAAAGTATCGTGAAAGGATTATTTAAATGAGGTAAAAAGAATTAAAAAATTTTGAGTAAACCTAAAATGATTGGGTAATTAAGAAAAGAAACTTTGAAAACTAATAGATTAAAAAATAATAAAATAACTGATCAATTATAAGTTAAAAAGAATGAAAAGAAAAAATTTTTAAATAGTGACTAAGAATTTAAAATAGATTATTAAGAGTAAGAATCCTAAAAATGGTTAAATAAGATAACAATAATTAAAAATTCTATGCAAAGAGGGATTAATGCTTGAAAAAGGAAGTACGATATAAGGAGTAATGAAATCTGAATAAGAAAAGAAATATAGAAAAATAAAAACTATTTTGAGAAAGGTATATGAGTATAAAAGTTTCCAAGAAAAAGAAATTGACTTATTTAGTCCCAACTTATATAAGGTAAATGGGTAATAAAGAAAACTAAGAAAACAAGATAAAGATAGAAAGCAAAATTAAGTGAGTTAAGGAAATTAGCAGAGGATTATGCCATTGGAAATGAGCAAAAAGAAATTGTATTGGGAAAGGTTGAAGATTTAATAGAAATAAGAAAAAACGTAACTGTCCTAATCTTATAGGGAGAAGCTAGTAGAGGGAGAAGGTGTGTTCACGCCAAGGTTAGAATAGAGACTGGCTCACAGACAGGTAGGGAGAGAGAGAAGTAGAACCGGGCAAGAGTAGAACATGTGGTGGGCGAGGGCCGCGTACAGTAGAGCAGAGTACAAAGAAAGGTAATCTGCAGGGGCGCTCCCGAAAGTCGTCTTCCTCACTCAGTTTAACCAACTGCCATTCTATCTAGTCACCTAAACAAGCATTAAAAATGTAATATTCTGAAAGGATATAAAACAATCATGAACTACAGTAAACATCAACAATTACTTATGATATAGACTTTAAAATCTATGTTATGAACAATGTGATATTTAACAAATCTTAAATAATAGTTTCTAAAAATATAAGAACAATTCTTGTAAAATAGAAGTAAAATTCAGCATATCTGAGGACCTTCGTAAGCTAATGCACACACTAAAACGCTAACTTTTATGACTACTTTTATTTTAGCAACATATTAACTTTGGAAACAGAGATAACTAACGAGCATGCTTATTTTTAACATGCTTCTTTAAACCCTGTGCTGAAGGTGCAACATATTTACATTGCGAACAAGGTTATCTAACTCCTTTATGTTTACTTTCAACATGAATCTTCAGAGCACCTGCTGCAGTTGCAGCATGCTCACATTGTGAGCAATGAAATCTCACTCCTTTGTATTTACTTTCAACATAAATCTTCAGAGCACCTGCTGCAGTTGCAGCATGCTCACATTGTGAGCAATGAAATCTCACTCCTTTGTATTTACTTTCAACATAAATCTTCAGAGCACCTGCTGCAGTTGCAGCATGCTCACATTGAGGGCAAGGATATCTCACTCCTTTATGTTTAATTTCAACATGTATCTATTACGGCGTAATTTCGCGAAATTGAAGTTTCGCTAAATACGTCGTAATTACGAGTAATTATAGTTTCGCCTATTACGCATAATCATTACAAAATTTCACGAAATTACGTTGTAGAAATTATGCGAAATTACGCCGTAATTACGCGTAATTATATTTTCGCTTATTACGCGTAATCATTACGAAATTTCGCAAAATTACGTTATATAAATTACGTGAAATTACGCCGTAATTTCGAGAAATGGATATTTCCCCAATAACGCGTAATCCTGTGAAATTACACGAAATGAAAATCATTACGCGTAACTGCACGTAATTACGCATAAGAGAATATTCTATTACGTTGGAAACCCTACACTCCTTCGTGTATACTTTCAACATGAGTCTTCAGGATAACAGCTGTAGTTGCAGCAAAATCACATTCTGGGCAAGGATATCCTCCTTCGTGCTTACTATCTACATGGATCTTCAGATTCCTTGTTGTTAATGCAAAATATTTGAATTGAGAACATGAATATCTGTGTTGACTCTTCCTGATTCTCTTTGGTTCAGATTGTAGAGGGTCCAATTCATAATCTGAGTTTTCATCTAAATAGAAAATTAGTTATTTTTACATCTGGTATTACTTATAAAGTTTATTTGTAAACTTTCATATATTTATTAAATACAAGGTATTTGCAGTTTATTCTTTCTAAAATTTCCCAGTTGCCCTGAATAGTGAATATTTCATAAAAGCAACACACATTAGTATGGTTATTATCTATATATATATCTATCTATTTATTAAGACTCCCCAATAACTCAAGTGTTATCAGGTAACCAACCCTCCCTACAACCCAGAGCCCCCTTTTAAGGGGTGCATGGATCACAGAGTTAGTATGACATGTGAAATGATACTGTTATATATATACTCGCGTGTTTGTTGGGGCGTTTGTTTGTATCCAATAAACGTAATAACGGCTGAACTGATAAGGCCAATATTTTTTTTGTGGGACCTCACAAGACTCCAGGGAACTTATGATAGTCAGAATTTTTTAAAAATTTCATGGAAAATTTTCGGTTCTTTAAAATCCCCAAAAAATTGATAATCCGTGATTGTTTAACCCCAAGGAAGGTTTATGAAAAACCAAAATTGAAAGAAAAAATGCACCAATTCGAAAAAAATAAGCCAAAATTTGAAAATGATATATAAGTGCCGACGTTCAGAGCAACACTTAAAATTTAAAATTATTTAAAGCGAGCCTAGTAAACAATGGATTTTTAATTTAATTTATTTTAAATAAAGAAATGAAATAAAAAGTCATTGTGCTTGTCCTCCGAATGGTGAATATTTTGTTTATTTTTTAAGTTTGAATAATACTATATATTATTTGCAAATTTGGCACAATATCCTCCCTCCCCCAGGGGCGGACATAAGGATTCTGTAGGGTGGGGGGAAATATTT